CAGCAGGAGATGTGGAATGGAGTGTCCAGGTGACGTTGTCCTCGGAGAAGTAGTTGGTGCAGTTGCCAGTGTTCCATGAGTTCTTGCAGCTGGTCCAGGGCAGCTGGCCCGTGAAGGAGGAGATGAGGTAGTAGAGGGCCCAGGCTATGATGGTGTTGTAGTAGGAGGCGATGTAAAAGGCGATGATGCAGATGGCATAACCGATCCCTGGGCAGTGGGCAACAGGGTGAGCAAAGCCAGGTTTACAGGGCAGCCAATGGGAAAGGCTGCAACAGCACATTGGAGAGTCCCGCAGCCAGGTAAAGGGTACAGGTGAGTTCTGCCATCCAGTGCATTCCCTAAGGACTTCAGGAGATGGCAGAAAGGTGGCAATGCAGCCCACGACTTAACACGTATGTGCAAGGTTACATGTAGAAAATGTCTACGGGTGATGTGTGCTGTTAACGCTTTGAGTTTTTAATTTAGCTTACCTTTTTCTTTTTTAAAAAATAATTTGCTAAAGGGCATGTGTGCTCATCAGAGAGACAGAGAGAGAGGGAAAGTGAGAATGCACACCTCATGGGGGACGGTCATGCCACAATCCCTGCTCCTCCATTTCTCCTTTCAGGATTTGGAGCACACATGGACATGTACCCAGTGCATTTTTCAAGCCACAAGGTCTAAGACTTGATCCGCACAGTTAGCCATGTAGCTGGCCCATACATTTAGCTTACTTTTAATTGCTATTTATTCTATTTATTTTTAACAATTACATACAACTTGAACAGCTAAAATATTAATTACTCTAATTATCTCCCTGGGATACCTGAGGCCTAACTGATTGCAGAAGAAGGACCCTAGGTTCCCCATTGATGGAAATCATAACTTCCTTGGGTGCCCCACTAATTCACTCATACAAATCCTTCGGTTACCTTTGAAAATTGGGCAGATTTTCCTCCAGATGGAAATGCATCCGTTCCGGTGGTACTGTCCCAGCGCGAGCTCCATGTAAAAGAGTGGAATGCCCCCGAAAATGGCCATGATGGTGTAGGGCAGGAGGAACGCCCCTGAGGCAGATGAAAGACAGTTTCACTCCCCATCTACCTCTGTACCAGGACAGACCAGGTGATGTGAACACAAGGGCCCACACTGAGTCCTCGTGTCCTCTGTGCTGAGTGACCTCACGCTGTGCGTTCCTGGTCTACGTGCTTTGCCGGAAGCAGAAAGACAGAGCTCCACAGCTAAAATGAGTTTTCAGAGAAGGCCGAGAGAGTAAATGGAAAGAAAGCTGGGTTTGGGAGTCACCCAGACAAACTCTGTAACCACCTTTACTTCTTTTTTTTTTTTTTTCTTTTTTTGGAGAGGTTTTTGCTATAGGGCATGTGCGCTCGCCAGAAAGATAGAGACAGAGAGCGAGAAATCAGCCCCCAGGGGGATGGCCACAATCCCTTCTCCTCCATTCTCCTCTCGGGATCTTGGGCATGCATGCACACGTGCCTGGCGTTGAGTTTAAGCTGCCGGGTCTGGGACTCAAACTGTGGTCAACTACATGGGAGTCAAGCAACATAGCCATTACACTAACGGCTGGTTCCACCAGCTTTACTTCTGATTGCCTGGAAAACCCTGGGCCATTCCCTTCTCTCAGCCTGAGTTTCTTACCCTATGAAATGAAAGGGTTGAGGAGAACGAAGGTTGCCGAACTCAACCTGGATTGTAATCACTGGTGAGGTGAGATTACACATCCAGGTTCCTGAGTCTACCCCAGACCGACTGAAGCATAGCCTCCAGGTCTGAGTGTGAAACCACTTTTTCAAGCTCTCCACGCAATTCTGATACCACCAATACACAGGACCCTGGAAACAGATCACCAGTGACTCCGTGTAACTGTTGCAACTACCACTGAATTATTCGTTATCTTTGCCTTTTTTTGGAGAGGTTTTTGCTATAGGGCATGTGCGCTCGCCAGAAAGATAGAGACAGAGAGCGAGAAATCAGCCCCCAGGGGGATGGCCACAATCCCTTCTCCTCCATTCTCCTCTCGGGATCTTGGGCATGCATGCACACGTGCCTGGCGTTGAGTTTAAGCTGCCGGGTCTGGGACTCAAACTGTGGTCAACTACATGGGAGTCAAGCAACATAGCCATTACACTAACGGCTGGTTCCACCAGCTTTACTTCTGATTGCCTGGAAAACCCTGGGCCATTCCCTTCTCTCAGCCTGAGTTTCTTACCCTATGAAATGAAAGGGTTGAGGAGAACGAAGGTTGCCGAACTCAACCTGGATTGTAATCACTGGTGAGGTGAGATTACACATCCAGGTTCCTGAGTCTACCCCAGACCGACTGAAGCATAGCCTCCAGGTCTGAGTGTGAAACCACTTTTTCAAGCTCTCCACGCAATTCTGATACCACCAATACACAGGACCCTGGAAACAGATCACCAGTGACTCCGTGTAACTGTTGCAACTACCACTGAATTATTCGTTATCTTTGCTCACTGAGATCGTCTGTGGCTCCAGACACTTCATTATTGATATTTGGCAATCCTGCCATAATTCCTTTAAACCAAAATAATCCCTCCAAAATCATTGTTGCAGGTGTGTCTGGAAAGGATCATTTTTCCACAGAACAAGAAAAGTCAGAACTGCCGAATAACTAGAAATGGTAGAGGTGTCTATTGGATCTTGTGGTTGAGGCAGAATTGGGGGATTGCTGAGCTGCAGCCTGAGTTTTAGCCCGAAGGGTGTATCAGCTATGATTTTCCCTGGTAACTTTCCCTTCCACAAAATGCTCTGAGTCTAGAAACCTGAAGTAAGTGCTACTCACAATGTCCATTTAACTCAGAATCATGCTGTATAACCTTGACTTGAGAATAAAAATCAAGCTGTGTTTTCAAGGTGGCCTTCGTCTAAAGAGTGTGCTCGATCGGCTTTACGGTAGGGCATAAATGTAAACGTCACCTGTGGCTCAGCCCCGTATATAATGCTCAGGCTAAAGGTGAGTCTTTCCAAGCCGAAGATAAGGCGCTTATAACTTCCGCTCCTCCTAGGCAGCAAGCTCTGAGCTTGGGAAGGAGAGGGCGGGGACGGGAACAGCCTTTGCAGCTACGTGGACTCAAGTCCTTAAAATATACAGCTGGAGGAGAAGGGACTGCAGAGTGGCCATCCCCCCGAGGGAGGGGGATGATTTTTCTCTCTCTCCTTTCTCTTGCATGTGTGTGCATGAACGCACAATGCCCTATAGCAAAAACGTAAAATGAAATGATGCAGCAAATCCAGGCAACTCTGTTGGGCCATGGAAGAAGTGAAGGTGACGCACATGGATTACCCACCAAATCTCATTTTAGCTACCATCCAGAATCTGGTGCCAGAGCTCCCATAAAAATAAACACTGACTTACTATATACCCGTTTCTCGTCCTTTTCCAGTCCTGACAGCCAGACCAGTGCCAGCACTGATGGCCTGTACCTACCTCCTTCTCTCTCAGGCTACAGTCTCCCCTAGGCTCACACATTCATGCCTACAGTCAGCTACTAATTTTTTTTTTTTTTTTGGAAAGGTTTTTGCTATAGGGCACCAGACAGACAGAGAGAGACATAGAAACAGAAAGCAAGAAATCACCCCCCAGGGGGGATGGTCATGCCACAATCCCTTCTCCTCCATTCTCCTCTCAGGATCTTGGGCACGCACGCACGCACATGCGCCCGGCGTGAGTTCAAGCCACCAGGACTGAAACTTGAACCGCGGTTGACTACATGGGAGTCCAGCGACATAGCCATTACGCTAACTGCTGGTCTCCAGCTACTATTTCTGATAACTACCCTGAAGGCGTTAAGGGTATGAGGAAGAATAAAGACATGACCTCCAGCCTTGACAATCTAACACCCTTGTAGGAAATATAAGGTACATCTACATGTGGTTAGGGTGGGCATTAATGTCATGCACCAGCTCAGTTCTGCTTTGGGTGATGCCAAGACTGATCACTTAGAACCCTGGACCTAACTGACATCCTTCTCTGACCTCATACTGATCCAAGGCCCAGTAGGGTCTGGGACCCTAGAGTCACCTCCCAATTTTTCCTAATGTAGATCTAACCTCTTTGGCTTCTTCCAGGTGGCCCCAGCCAGACAGAGGGAGGAGACGAGCACAGGGTTAGCTGATGGCTGTTGTCTGTCCTCCACTCCCTTCAGGGGAGGACAGTGCTTGGACAATGCAGGACGAGAAGGAAGCCCTTCACCAAAGGAGGCACCAACGATTCTGAAATTTGTGAGGTCAGGTTTAAGAGCACTTTTGTCCAGCTTAACAGCCCAGAAAGCCTCAGACATGTTAATGAAAGCTTTTGGTTAACTGGAGAAGTGTCTTTTACACTAGATTGACAGTCTGAGCAGTCACGTGCCCAGACTCAAATCGGTTAAGGCAGACGACACATGACCTATCTTCTGCCCTCCCAAGAGGATTGACAGCCCACCCCTGGGTTGGCGCCCCTGCTCAAATGCAGCCCATGATACTGACCCCCTCCATTCTGGTAACATATGTAGGGAA